TGAACCTGGAAAGTTTGGGAACGTCTGAAATAGAGAATACAAATTATTTGTTAGCACTCAACACAGCAACATTGGCCACTAATGTTTCATTCTATTTTTCAGATTCCTGTCTCTTTTAAACCATAGTTTCTTAGTAGGTTTGGTCTCTAACTGAAGTAGAAGTTCAAAGTCTAAAATACTTATACTGAGCAAGGATGAAATGGATTGTTTTGTAATGAACAATGTTTGTCCCTTAAATAACATATAAAGTTGTATCATGAGATGAATGCAACATCACACCTCTACTTGCAATTGTGTAAAATGTTTTTAGCTTTAAAGTTACAGTGGTGGAGGATGTTCTTTTTCCAGATGGATCATCAAAATAAGTAGTCATCTTAATTGTCAATCATTCTGGTGATTTGTTTACATAATGCCGTTCTACGTCCTTGTCCCCATTTTCACTTACCGTTGGTGAGTCTGACATAATGGAAATCTTCTTTTGGAAAGTAAGCTGGTATGAGCGATGCAAACAGTAACTTTTAAACAGAGTGTGCACGAGCAATGCGCTAGTGCACGCTCTTGCGTGTGTTTAATAGGTGTACCCTCTCGGGAGTGGGTACAGGGTTGTGTCTGTGCATTTTGTTTTTGTTTTTAAAGTGGAGAGGGCGGGTCTTTTTAGAAATCATCCACTATCCTTTAATTTAATGGCCAAACAACATGAATCAGTGTTCTGCCTTAATTGTTGCCACAAGGTAAAAAGAAATTATAGCACTTTTAGTTAATACTTTTTTTTTTTTACTTTCTGTAGCAGATAGCTTAGCTGCACTACTAAAGAAAACTCATCCTGATGCTGAAAAACTAGTCAATACATTTGTTATTGGAAGTTTGAATTACTGTAATTTTTCACTATCATGAAGTCCAGAAAATGCAATTAAAAGCATTCAGAAGATCCAAAACACTGTAGCTATAGATTTCCTAGATCATATGTCTCCCATTTGAGCTCCCCTTCATTGTCTCCACCTTTTAAATCTTAAATAGAATTTAACACTCTCCTTCTCACAAACATGATGTTACTAACAGAGCACTTTGGTCTCAGTTTCCAGGTTTACCATCGATTCCTAGAATATATAAAAGCAGGAATGGAGATGGGTTATTTAGTTAGCAGGATCCTCTGTTTTTGACCTAGTCTTTAAATGTTCCTTTATGATAACGCATATAGTTAGAGTTGCTCAGGTCATCCTTAGCAATAATGGCAGTTATTCTGCTAATGGTCTAGGCAGCTGGAGGACTCTTCTACATTCACTCTTCTACATTCTGCTTCTTTCCGAAATTTTGAATTATATTTTGGTTAATCTTTTAACTTTTTATTTTTTTTTTCTCTTCACAGTCCTGTAGGGAATTCTAAGCTTGACTGCTGCTGTCAGCAAATTGATGTTGTATAAAGCTGGTCCTGTTCCTAAGTGTTTCATCCTTTTTGTCTGTTGTCTGAGCTTTTACTAGAACTATCTGCGTTTGCTCTATTCCATCTTCCTGTCCTGAAAACTGCCTTAGAGCTCATCTGATGCTGTGAATGTCCAGTTCAGGCAGTGCAAAAGCAAGCAGTGTGCATGTTCACCACTATTGCTGGCTGTCATCAGAATAATGCAAACGGCATATTTACATGACATATTTTTATTTTGATCGGACAATTTATTTCAATAAATTATGTCTATATAACTTGAAATCCATTTTCATCTGTTGTGAAATTGTGTGCATGTAAGCATATAGCCCAATTCAATAAACTAGGTTTCCCTAGATAAAAATTTTAAAACTGATCTCTAACTATAATTTCATTGAATTGACTCTGTAAAGGGCCTTGAGATGTGTTTCAAATTTTTGCGATATAAATAAACTGATTTAGAATTCGAAATAATTGAATCTGCTTAACATTATTTCCCAGATAAAGCCACCCGCTGAACCAGTTTACCAATGCCTTCTATAAAATAGCATTTTTTATGGATCGGTCCATTTAGACTTCTTTTGTTTGTTTTCCAAGACAAACTGAGCTTAAAATTAGCCCCAGATGCAATGGGAAACCTTTAAATCCACCAACTGACTTCCACTGACACTGTTTGTCATGGA